TCTTTAAATTTGGTTTTGTTTAATGACTTATAGCATGCAGGAAGCAAATTGTACAATCTCAGCCCAGCATACAATGAAGATTTTTAATATAGGTTCAAACGGTGTCTGGGGGGTCTTAATATATTTTCATTTCGGGTTTAATACCTGTGGTTAAAATGTATTGTTTCTGGTAGCTCATTTTTAACTGAATGTATGTAATTTATTAATTCTAGAATATACAACCCCATTAATGTCTATATGTATATCGACCTAATTTTGGTATGTAAATAATTCAAATGTGAATCCCATTCAACTGTCATCTACATAAACCCCTAAGAATTTATGAGCTTCAAATAAATTAAAAGAATAGTTTTCCACATTTATTTATCTAGTAGTAGTAGTAGTAGGCTATCTATTTTTGTCCTAAATGCAATCTGTGAAAGTATAAGTTTATGCCATGTAATGTTTCGTTTAATCATAAGATATAAGTGGATTACATGTTGACACATCCTTTTCTTGCTGTTCAATTATGTGTATGACGGCATGCTGACATTTTTATTCGTAATGAAAATGTCAACTGGTGTAGAAGGTCTCTAGAAAACTGTACGATAAGCTGCAGGGTGTCAGTAGAAACCAAAATCGATTCATACCATACCATGACCATCCCAGAAGTAGGCCTAATGTATGATTCATAAGCTTGAAATAGGGGCGCATTCCAAAAGTAGACCAAAAAGCGGGCTGGGCAGGCTTTGCGTGGTGGAGAGAAGATACGTCAACTTAAAGTGTATTCCAAGGAGTACTACTAAGCAGACGACCACTTGGAAGACCAAGTAACGAAATACATCTTCAGACCGGTATCATCATTAGAAAAGGCAGGGGATAGAAGAGAACGGAAGACCAGGATCCTTTTAGAGGTTTCAGTGGCTACTGAGGTAAAATAAGGTACGGTAAGTGATAGTATGTATGGAAGTTAGTATGTAGCTGTACTCAAATTGTAAACTAGCTGTACTCATTCATATTCAGTTTTAATTGACTACTTGATTCCCGTACGTAGGACGGGCCAACAGCTCGTATAATGTTAATCTTAGAATTGATAAAAAACTATCTAAAGTCATTTTTTTTAAATTCAAACCTTGTATATTTAGGAAAAAAATATCTGAAATATTTTAAGATTATCTGTATATAATCTTACTTCCGTCACAAAAAATGGAGTTAAAAGCTTTACAAAACATTAAAACTAAGTTAAATGACAATGACGCTATTCTATGTAAAGCTGACAAAGGCAATACAACTGTAATAATGTATAAAACTGATTACAATGTCAAAGTGCAAAGTTTCATTTCTAAAAACGACATAATTGAAATAGACAAGGATCCCACGAAATCATTTCACACCAAAATAAAGAAATTGGTCAACCAGAGTAAAGTGCTATTTACTGAAGATGACATAAAATATCTACGTGTCATGAACCCGTCCCCGCCCATTTTACGTGGCCTACCTAAAGTCCATAAAGAGGGTATTCCCATCAGACCCCTAGTAGACTATACAAGCGCTCCTACTTATAAAATAGCCAAGAAATTAGAATGTTTATTGAAAGAAAATATTGTCCTTGAAAACAATCATAGCCTAAAAAACACCTACGATTTCATAAATAAAACGAAAGACTTTAAAATAAAAATGCACCAATCTCTTGCCTCATTTGACATTGTAAACCTGTATACCAATGTCCCATTGAAAACCACATTGGACATCGTTCATGACAACCTAAATAAACATTCAAACTTACTACCTGAAGCAATAAATGAAATGTTACAACTATTAACTGAAGTACTCCGTCAAAACTATTTTACTTTTAATGGTAAATATTATTTACAGAACGACGGCCTTGCTATGGGATCGCCACTATCAAGTATCTTATCTGATATCTACTTGAATCACGTTGAAAATAATAACATATTTTCAGATAAAAACAAATATAAAGATAAAATACTCATGTACTATAGATATGTGGATGACACCATTGTATTGTTTGATGGCAACAAGAGACAATTAAACCTCCTCCTCAAATATTTAAATCAAATAGCACCAAAATTAGAATTCACACTTGAAACAGAAGAATCGAACTGCATACATTTTTTAGATTTAACCATAAGGAAGAATGTTGACAGTTTCGATTATAGCATCTACAGGAAACCAACTACTTCTGCACAAACTATCCACAATACCTCATACCACCCATATTCTCAAAAAATGTCAGCATTTAATTCATTGATCCATAGGATGTTAACAGTTCCGTTAAATGCAGTAAATTATGAGATTGAATACAAAATTATAAAACATATAGCTACAGTCAATGGTTATAAAAGCGGTTTGGTAGATAGGCTCATCAAAAAACATAAAAACAAACAAGGTGTGAAGATTGACAGCTCAGAGAAGAAAAAATATGTCTGCGTGGAATATAGTCACACTATCCAACACGCATTAAAGAAAGAACTCGCTAAACAAGGCATTGAACTAGCCTTCAGAACCACAAACCGTACCAGGAACGTGTTGGCAAATAAAGTTGAGATAGGTGACAAAGTAGATAAGACCGGCGTGTATAGGATATCTTGTCCGGATTGTCCTAGCAAATACATAGGGCAAACAGGTCGTGCCTTTCAAACACGATATAAAGAACACCGACCAGATCCTAAACACCATAAACAAAAATCCGCGTTTGCTCAACATCTTGTAGATTGTAATCACTCAATGAGTGATATTAAGAACGGCTTGGAAGTTCTACATTTTTGCGGGAAAGGTAATAAGTTGGACACACTTGAGGAGTATGAGATATATAAAATGAACGTAAACGAAGAACACAAGGAATACATCCTCAATGATAAACTACAATTCAAGTCCCACTCCCTCTTCAACACCGTTATCTCATCTAGAACAGCTGACCACCGAGCTGATAACAGAGAAGGACGGGACGAAGTTACTTAACCCGTGTCCAGTCTACCTACAACCGCTGCCGTGCCGTGTCGATAGCGCTATCGTGTTATTACGTGTTTAAATGTTTCGTGTTCCGTGTTTTGTTTTATGTATAAATCATTTGATGTTTTTGACAAAAAGCTCTGACGATGTTGCAGTGCAACGAAACATGTAAGCTTTGAACAACATTAGTTGAAAAAGACACAATTTTGGACTACTGACGGAGGTAAGCCTATATAAGTCATTATTCGTAGTCCAGGGGCTATCAGAATGAATAAAATAAAAAATATCTAACATATCTTGACAAATATGATGATTTTAAACAGTATTTCTGAGTGGTTTTTTGCACATTTCTCAGAGGTGACATCAACATCATTGTTACACTTTTCAACTACTAATGACTTCTACTAATAATTTCTACTACTAATGACTACTATGATACTACAAATGAATTAATGTGTGAAATATCTTAATATTGCAGCTATTTGTGATGGATCTTCCAGATGTGGTGCACTCATGAGGTCCCTCCAGTGTGAATTAATGTATGTCTCTTCATAACACTGATGGTTTGGAACGATTTTCCACATATAGCGCACTTATGAGGTCGCTCTCCTGTGTGAACCAATGTATGTTGTTTCATATGGCTGTTGATTTTGAAGCATTTTCCACATACAGTGCACTTATGAGGTCGCTCTCCCGTGTGAACCAATGTATGTCTCTTCATATCGCTGCTGGTTTTGAAGGATTTTCCACAAGTAATGCACTTATAAGGTCCCTCTCTCGTGTGAACCAATGTATGTCTCTTCATATCGCTGCTAGTTTTGTAGGATTTTCCACATGTAGGGCACTTATGAGGTCGCTCTCCCGTGTGAATCAGTGTATGATCCTTCATTTCTTTCTTAGTTTTGAAGGATTTTCCACATGTAATGCACTTATGAGGTCGCTCTCCCGTGTGAACCAATGTATGTTGCTTCATAGTTCTTTTGCTTTTAAAGGATTTTCCACATGTAGGGCACTTATGAGGTCGCTCTACCGAGTGAACCAATGTATGCTCCTTCATACCTTTCTTGGATTTGAAGGATTTCCCACATGTAGTGCACATATGAGGTCGCTCTCTAGTGTGAAGCAATGTATGAACCTTCATTTCGTGCTTTTTTCTAAAGGATTTTAGACAAGTAATGCATTTATAAAGTCGCTCTTCCGTGTGGACCAATGTATGAACCTTCATTCTTTGCTTGGTTATAAAAGATTTCCCACATGTAATGCACTTATAAAGTCGCTCTCCTGTGTGAAGCAATGTATGTTGCTTCATAGTTATTTTGTTTTTAAAGGATTTTCCACATGTAGTGCAGTTATGAGGTCGTTCTGTCGTGTGAACCCATGTATGTTGCTTCATAGTTATTTTGTTTTTAAAGGATTTTCCACATGTAGTGCAGTTATGAGGTCGTTCTGTTGTGTGAACCCATGTATGTTGCTTCATAGTTATTTTGTTTTTAAAGGATTTTCCACATGCAGAGCACTTATGAGGTCGCTCTACCGTGTGAACCAATACATGTTTCTTCATCTCGCTCCTGGTTTTGAAGGATTTTCCACAAGTAATGCACTTGTAAGGACACATCCCAGAATGAATTAACATATGAGTCTTTACGTGAGATTTTTTAATAAATGTTTTCTCACATGTCAAACATCTAAAGGGACGCTCACCTGTGTGTAAATATATATGATATTTCATTTCATAAAGAGTTGAAAACATTTTTCTACATATTGGACAGTGAAGGAGAGGCTTTTTAGTGATATTAAACATTTTTTGTTTTATATTTCTGATTTCTAACATCAGGCGAGCTAGTAACTAATTGAAATCATTCGGTTGGCTTTGCATGTATATTTTTGATGTATTAAATACCATACCACATAGCTTGTTCAAGGCATTTTGTCTTTTTGTCTTGACTTTATGTTCCATCGTGTTAAATAAGCCTCCTTAAGAAATCTTGTTTTATTTTATATATGTTAATTATAATTTAAATTCAAGTTTTACATAGTTAATTACTTACTGCAATGAGTACTTTTTGTGTAGTAAAAAATTAATCTGTTTTGCTGCTGTTTAAAGTATTACAACTGATTTTGTAAATAATCTTTCTTGTGACGTGAATTGAAGGTTCTTTTTCTCTTCAAATCTTTTTCCTATCCTGAAAAAGACCATTTAATTTATTATTCATTATTTATTTATTAATACAGTTGTTGTAAACATTTAAATTTTTTGTTCAAATTTAGAATCATAAAAGCAATTGAAATTTATGTAATCTATTGAGTATGTAATAAAAATGATAACATTTGTCAATAAAATATTCACCAGGAATCAAGATTATTAATTGATTAAGAAACTTCTTTTAATGTTTCTTCATAATATGTTAGATTTTGTGCCAAATTTGACCAGATAATTTAGGAAGTCGAGGATTTCAACAAAGATTTGGGTAAAAATGGATTACCTATATTACGTTCACAAAATTTAAATTTATAAGGTTTATGAGTTCACAAAATAGAGGCGGTTATATCCCAGATCTCTTCTATACAGATTTCTTCTCCTATAACCGCCTAAACTTTCAGAACGCAGTATAGTTATAGGAGGTACTAAAAATATTAAATTAATGATAACTATTAGTGTGTGATATTCACAAGCTTATCAATCACACCAAGTACACCAAGCTTACAAACCTTGGAACTTTAAAGATTACGAGAAAAGTGGCAACTTCACTCATCATTCCTTTACCATAAAAATTCCAAGTCTGGCAATAATTTTCAATTGACTTATACATTTTTGCAAACAAAAATCTACACGGAGCTCCACAAAAACCACGGGACATTGCAATGACATGCATTATTTTAACACTCCATTCTAGACAAAGTATGAGAGATATTATGTGCATGCTAGCATAGCTGGATTCAAACGCTCTGATACTAAAATACAGAATACGAGTGGTCTTGTCAAGTCTGCCAATAAACAATAGTGCAATGCAATAAAATGTAGCTCATGTATTAATTCCTGCCTTTGTTGAGCTAAGTGTACATTTTCTAAGGAATAGAAACTGGGTGAATGGTGTATGGTTAAGAAGAGGGATTATCACTAGATAGGTGGATTACAGTTCAAGTAGAGTACTAAATGAAGTCAAACAGTGAAGCAGTTAATACCTTTTTATTTTCAATATTCGTATAAAAATTAACAAACATACAAAACATTAATTTATCAGTTTGTTCATGTGAGAAATCTAATTAATATTGTAGGTTTATCCTAATTCAAGATTTAATATGAATTCAATGCATTAATCAATCTCTAATTTTCATTAAAAATATAATACAGTATAAATATTTGATAAATCTACACTACATAATATGCTACATTTTTTTAAACCTGTACAGTTCTTGTGTTTTACTGAAATGCTGCAAAAGCCAGTCTAGGTACTAAAAGTGTGGATAGTTCAACCCCCCAAAAAATAACATTTATTTTTATAAAATTGTACATAAAATTGAACGATTAACAAAAGCTTAACATTAGTGGGTGTTCTAAAACAAGGCAATACAAAATAATAAGATAATAGCTCTGGAAAGTACCTTGACATTTTATTAAATTGTTCTGTTGTAAAACTCCATGTAAAAATATTTTTCAAACACTTTCAGTTTTAACATTTTATAACCACTATGTTTAAGAAATTTCAAATTGGGTTAAAGAAAATCTGTCCTCATTCATGACCCAACCCTTTCATTCCCATCACACTTGACTTAAGAGTTATATTAAGCCTGAAACCCATTGATTAAAGAAATTTCATTTATCTCCTTAATATATAGGCCCAAATGTTTACAAAAAGTCACCGCTCCACATAAAGAATATTGATAGTAGTACAGAGTTCTAATCCACCCTGAATAATATGTAGGCTACATAAAAAAGCCTAAAGAATATTTTATTAATACATAAATGTCTTATAAGAAACTAAGCGTTATACAGAATGACCAACGAATCGAACAATTTTTAAGCTGATAGTATGTGCACAATAGTTATTGTAGGTAGTTTTTATCACGAGTAGGGAGGGGTGTCATTCAATGCTGTATATTATGCCGTTTTATTAGCCATGGAGCATTGGACAGTAAACACCATATTTTTGCCTACTACAAATGTGTGCAAAAGGTCATGCCTATCCCGGCAGCCTTTTTAGCGAATTTCCCATATAGGGAATAAGCTATTACCGTAGTACTCATGGTAAGACCTGGACCCGGGACCGATTTAATTTTTCATTTTGAGGTCCCTAGAGGCCAAAAACACCATCCGTTCAAATTCATATATATATATATATATATATATATATATATATATATATATGTGTGCGTTAGCGCGATAACTCGAGCAAAAATGATCCGATTTTGATGAAATTTGGTACAAACGTGTAAACCTACGTTTATTCGAACGAGTTCGCGATCCAGCATAATCGGACCATGGGAACGGGGGTTTGTGGGGGGTTTTATGGGGTAAAAATGGGTTTTTCCCATTTTTGACCCTAAAAACAAAAAATGTTGCAATTTCTTTCTAAACCGTTTTGTAGAGCTTAAAAAAAGAAATAATTTAGTATATTGAAGCGCTGTTGTATGCCTAACGGTCACGGAGAAAATTCAAAAATAGTGTAATTTAAAATTCCCATGTTATTCTTATGGAGAAAATGAAAATTGTTGTAGTTTACTTGTTTATGGATATATATTGATAAAATTTGGCAAATTTATTTATTTCATCCTATACTATTGACGTATGGTCAAAAAACACTTTTTACCTTCTCCGTAGCAGCAAACCTAAGCACTCGTTAAATCTAATGTTATTTAAATAGTGAATAAATATGGTAAGCTTTAAATACCTAAGAGTTGATGTGCTTAAAAACTTTTAGGTCACAGGTGAGACATTTGATAAACAAAAGCTTAGTTTTTTACAATACCACCACACATACTACCATTGACAATTGATACAACTCAGGATGAGGATTCAATGGATGTGTATAAGCTTCCTGGGAAGGATTATTTAGCATTAACGTAAGTGCATCTGTGAATTTTTTGTAACGTGTTTTTCTCAAGGAACCCCGAAATCTGATGGATCTTTATGAATGCAATTAACCAGAAAGTAGCAAAAACATTATTAGTGACTGTAAAATGCTGAGACATTTTTTATTTTCATAATAAGAGAATTTAAGAATTAACACAAAAATTTGATTTGAAATTGACACATCTATAGCCTATATTAATTTGAAACTGTTTTTCTTTGTGACAGCTAATTTGAGAGAACGGCTGGGCGTAGAAATTTGGTAAGGGTCTTTAAAGTTCTTGATCTGTAAATGAGCTATCAAAAGGGGAACGATGTAAATTTCATTGGGGCTCTGCCCCAGAGGCCTTTAAAGTTCCCTCAGCAGATTTGTTTACAGTACGACCATATGGATAATTTTCCAATTCTTTTTAATGAAACAGCTGTTAATATTAAAATTGTAATGAGCATTTACTGAATCTGTTTTTTATAGTTTGAATAAAATGATGAATTTATGATACGTTTTATTATTATTTTTTTAAATCTATGTTTTAATGCACTTAGAAATTATTGTATTATGAAATCAGTGGGACATATCAATTTTAAAGGAACAGATAACTATTCCTTATCGGGTTAGCTTATATTTATTTTATTGGTTGGCGTTTGCTTTTTTTGGTCTACTTTCAATAATCATTTATTATTACATTCAAGAAAAATCGTAAGAGGTTTGTGAGATTATTAGCTTAAAAGTTTTCGATAATCGGGTAGAAAATTGTGTCATACAATAAAAGCCATGCAAGTGTAGAGTAGTACGTTGAAGATGTGAGCTGTATTCAAGTTTTGGCAGAGACTAACCACGGAGTATGTTAAATCTATGGTTTTTGTGTCATAAGTATATGCTGCTGAAGAAGTTGATTTAAAAGCAACTCAGGTGGTATTTAAAAAAAATCTACAGGGTTTTTACTTTGATGTACACATCAAGCTAGGTTGAACAACGCATGTAAACCTCACTACATACAAAACATTAGGAAATAAAACAGTGCCATCACATCTCATTTCATTTGCATAATATGTTGCCAACAAAGCCGGACTAGGTTATGGATGTGGTTCCGGGTTCCGCAAATGGTTCAAGATTTGTGGCCAAATTCACTACTGTAGACTCCCTTTTATCCGGACACCTTTTAATCGGACATCGGTTTAACCGAACTACATTCGGCGGAAATGACATCTCTTTAACCGGACAATTTTTATCAGCACATCTTAACTGGGCTAGATCGGCAGGAAGTGGGCGGTACTGAAATGACCATTCTCGTGGGAAAAATTTGAGACCAGTAAACTTGTGTCTAAATATAATGCTCTCCTAAATTTAAGTCAAATACGCATTTAAACAGTCCGTTTTAATGAGTTTTTGGGGTTTAACCGGAAAAACCGTTATACGGACTGGTCTCAGTCCCGAGGAGTCCGGATAAGAGGTAGTCTACTGTACAATTATGGTCCATCCCATCCACAAAATACATGCACAACTTTTTGTGATTGATACGGCCAAGGCAATTGCCCCTAGCATATCAATAAAGTTCAATTTTGACAGCAACCTCATGGCACAATTTCACAAAACTACGTCAGAGGTTAATCAATTAGCAAATAAGTACATGATGATGAAATACATTGGTCGATGTGGCAAGAGAATCAAAATTGTTTAGACCCCCATTGAAGTAAGAATGTTACTTCACTGCAGTTCACGAACTGCTTTCTGGAGAATCAGATAATTTTATCAAATAAAAAACAGATTTAATATGCCTCCCCCTAATAAAATTCTGTATTTTTATGACCAAAGATGGTGATTCACTTATACAATCCAAATATGATCTGAATGATTTTCCTAAAGCAGATGGAACAAGTTATTTTAGTAATATTGACTCTTTCCGTCAGATGATAGACCGTTATATGAACTCCTTTCCCCATATAGTGAAAAAGGCTTTAATATGAACAAAAGTCATGAACAAGAAACAATTGTAAGACTCCTGAAAAGCCTTTTGGGCAACCTCAAGCCGATGAAAGGACAGAAAAAATATTGAATTCAACGAATTCATTAACCACGTTTTTTAAGGTACACAATCGTCTTACTCATAATTATGTTTATCCTCACTTCATTTAACTAAGATTTTAATAACTTCCCTCTATCCATCGCAGTTACCTGAATTTACGTAAAACGTCATGAGTAACCGTCGATTTCGACCGGATTCACCTAGTAATTAATTAATGTATGAAACATCATATTGCAACTATTTCTGATGTATCTTCCAGATGAAATAATGTATGTCTCTTCATATTGCTGCTGGTTTGGAAGGATTTTTCACATATAGTGCACTTATGAGGTCGCTGCTCTCCTGTCTGAACCAATGTATGTCTCTTCATACCGCTGCTGGTTTGGAAGGATTTTTCACATATAGTGCACTTATGAGGTCGCTGCTCTCCTGTGTGAACCAATGTATGTCTCTTCATACCGCTGCTGGTTTGGAAGGATTTTTCACATATAGTGCACTTATGAGGTCGCTGCTCTCCTGTGTGAACCAATGTATGTCTCTTCATATCGCTGCTGGTTTGGAAGGATTTTTCACATATACTGCACTTATGCGGTCGCTCTCCCGTGTGAACCAATGTATGTCTCTTCATATTTCTGCTGGTTTGGAAGGATTTTCCACATGTAGTGCACTTATGAGGTCGCTCTCCCGTGTGAACCAATGTATGTCTCTTCATATTTCTGCTGGTTTTGAAGGATTTTCCACAAGTAGTGCACTTATAAGGTCGCTCTGTCGTGTGAACCAATGTATGAATCTTCATCTCGCTGCTAGTTTTGAAGGATTTTCCACAAGTAATGCACTTGTAAGGTCGCTCTCCTGTGTGAACCAATGTATGTTGCTTCATATTTTTCTTTCTTTTGAAGGATTTTCCACAAGTAGTGCACTTATAAGGTCGCTCTGTCGTGTGAACCAATGTATGAATCTTCATCTCGCTGCTAGTTTTGAAGGATTTTCCACAAGTAGTGCACTTGTAAGGATACTTCCCAGAATGTGTAAACAAATGATTTTTTACCTGAGATTTTCTAATAAATGTTTTCTCACATGTCAAACATCTAAAGGGACGTTCACCTGTGTGTAAATATATATGATACTTCATATTCCTTGGATTTGAAAACATTTTTCTACATATTGGACAGTTAAGGAGAGGCATTTGAGTGATATTAAACATTTTTTGTTTTATATTCTGATTTCTAGCATCAGGCGAGCTAGTAACTAATTGGAACTATTCAGTTGGCTTTGTATGCTATTTTCAGTGTATTAAATATCACACCACATAGCTTACTCAAGGCATTTTGTTTTTTGGCTTGACTTTATGTTCCATCATGTTAAATAAGCCTCCTTAAGAAATCGTGGCTTATTTTCCATTTTGTTTCCAAACAATATTCAATCAGCTATATCAATGTTAATTATAATTTAAATTCAAGTTTTACATAGTGAATTACTTACTTTACTTTATTTATTAATTTCTTTTTTCTTTTAAGTAATACTTTTTGTGTAGTAGAAAACTAAATCTGAATAGCTGCTGTTTAAAGTATTACATGTTATTCTGTAAATTATCTTTCGTGTGACATGAATTGAAGTTCATTTTTCTCTTCAACACTTTGCGTATTCTGAAAAAGACCATAATTTATTAAATATATACAATATTGTTGTAAACATTTACGTAATTTTTTGTTCAAATTTTGTATCATAATACCCCTGCTGCAGCAAACCTGCCCCGACTAAGTGAGTTTCCATTTGTCTAAATTGATTTTCAATTAAATCTATTTAAATAACATTAGGGTTAAGAAGTACCTAGGTTTGGTTCTACAAGGAAACTATAGTTCGGCCGCTTAGAAAACGACCTGCGCGCTAATGCTAAACCAATGCTGGAGGAGGTCGCTTTCTAAGCGGCCGAACTATAATAAAATTTGTTTTTAGTAAAATATCAATAGCTAAGTATAAAATAAATAAATTTGCTAGCATTTAAAAACATTCTCGATAACAATTACATGAGAATTTTAAATTTAATTTTTTTGAATTTTCTCTGTTACCAATAATTGTAAATAAACAATTTGATATACTAAACTATTTGTTTTTAAGCTTTTTAAAAAATCCCTAGAAATAAGTAAATTGGAAAACAATTTTGTGCTTTGAGGGTCAAAAATGAGAAAACCCAATTTTTACCCCATAAAAACCCCTGTAAAATCTTCTTCCCACCTTCCCGCCTTACACCTTTAAACCAAATTTCGTCAAAATCGGACAAAAATTACTCAAGTTATTGTGTTCACGGACATATATATATATTCATACATATATAAAAAATTGAACGAATAGTGTTTTTGGACTCTGGGGACATCAAAATAAAAAAGTAAATCGGTCCAGGGCTCAAGCCTTACCATGAGGCCTACGGTAATAGCTACTTCCCAATAAGGAAATTCGCTAAAAGCAATTGAAATTTATTAATGTAATCTAAATAAGCATTGTACAAGGTGTCCAAAAAATATTTATTGGGTAAGTCTGCAGGTTTGCTGCAGCGGGGTTATTTTTCCTTAATACATATGGCTCAGCTGATTTATGTTTTGTTTTTGTATACCTCAGCTGTTGAGCTTATTATTTTACAGGAAGGTTAAGAGGGGGTAGATTTCTTCCTCCAATAACCGCCTACATTTTGTAAACACAGTATAGTTATAGCAGTTACCAACAATATTGTATTGAAATGATGACAACTACTAATTGTGTATGATGAACACAAGCTTATCAATCATGCCAAGGTTACAAAACTAAATCAATCCTCACTTCCTATACAATACAATTAACCTAACCTAGATCTTGCAATATTACCACACAAGTGGAAACCAGTGCCTTCACGCATTATTCTTTTGCCATAAAAATCCCAAATCTGCAATAATTTTCAATTGGCAAGAACAACTTAGCAAAAAAAAATCTACACTTAGCCCCCCACACAAACCACCAGACAGTGCTATGACATCAATCATTTTAACACACCATTGCAGATAAAGTACGAGAGATATTATGTGCCGCATGCTCCCATAGCTGGATTTGAACGCTCTGATACTAAAATAGTAGTGTTAGCGTTGTCCCAAGCATCGCCAATGCCAAACGTATTTTACCTTCTGGACTACCCTCTCCCTCCCAAATAATAATTTAATTTGTCAAATTTTTTAGAGAATTCTAGTGGTCTTGTCAAGTCTGCCATTAAACAATTGTGCAATACAATAAAACGTAGCTCATGCATTATTTGGACTAGTTCCTGCCATTGTTGAGCTAAGCATACATTTTCTATGGAATCCTTATACAGAATGTCCAAAAATTATTGACGCAAACTTTAACAAGTTATTATTTGGATCAAAACAATCAAAATTTGTCCTGTATTGTTGACTAGCTGTGTGCCCGTTCTACGCACGGGGTTCTTATCATAGTCAGTTAAAACCTCTGTTACAATCACCCACTGCAGTTTTGATTTTTTACTTTACACTTTACACAACCGCCATTGAAGCGCCGTCAATGAGTGGAACCTTGTTTCTAAGCTATTGGCGATGATCATAAATAAATTTAAGTTTCCCGGCCGTATACAACACTGATTCAATGTCTTCTTTCTGGTTATCAAAACTCCAGAACAATTTTATACACAAAGAATCTCTGGTTCCTGACCTGGATGATGCCTAGTTATTTAATGTAATTTACGGTTACACTATATTATTCCACTGGCGATTAATTAAATCCTTTACAGTATGTAAGAAAAACGTTTTTAATCTCACTTGGATGGGATTTGCCTTCAAACGTGATCGGAAATGGTTGCGGTATTTGTAAACATATCAGTGACAGCTAGAAAAAATAATCTTGATCCGAACAGCTGTTCATTATTTCATAGATGATTATGTGATGAAAATTAGTTGAAAACTTGACAAAAATCGCACAAAATTGCATTTTTGAACGTCCGTAATTTTATTTACAAAGTAGTGAGGCCATATTTTAATGGCTAAAGACACTCTTGCCAATCCAGTGAATACATTAAAATGACTTGGATCTTGATAGGTACTCTCGTTTTCCTGGAGAAGATTGGGTAAAATGCCATCTTGAGTGTTACAGACAGACAGACAGACAGAAATTTAGATGAGACTTGTTTTGGCTTCCTTAATGTATAAAACGTAAAAATAACCTAAAAATTTATGATTCTGAGCAATGTACAGACAAAACTCTAATTTTATTTATATAGATTGTTACAGGACAAATTTTATAAATGCTTATAAATGGTGATAGGCTACATATATAAATATATATATTTTTAATTAGATACTTCCTATCTCACTTAGCTTTCTGTCTGTCTGTCTGTCATGATTAGATTTGGATGTCCGAAGGCATAACCGGGATCGTTTTAAATAATAAATACCCCCGCCATAGCAAACCTGCAGACTAAGCTAATTTCCATTTGCCTGATTGGATTCACACTAGAATATCTCCTTAAAATTATCAGATTTATTCCCTACCTATTTAAATAGCATTAGTTTGACAAGTACTGTACTTAGTTTTGATGCAACAGGGAGGGTAAAAGTTTTTTTTTTGTAAAATGGTAATAGTTTAGTATAAAATAAATGCATTTTCCAAATTTGTTCAAAATATGGTCATAAACAATCAAACTACATACATCATTTTATTTATTCTCCATAATAATAACATGGTAATTTTAAATTTACAATTATTTGTAGTTTTCTCCGTAACTATTAGGCGCATAACAAAGCTTCGGTATACTAAATTATTTGTTTTTTTGAGCTCTATAAATTATTAAGTAATATGTTAGTTTCCGATTCCATATAATCAAATTTAAATAACAAGTCTTGCCAATTATATGAAGCTAAATTATTACATAAATTGGCTACTCTGAACTTGTCCTGTGGAAAATTTGTCTTCTAGGGACATCAAAATGAAAAAGTATATCGGTCCAAGCTCCAGGTCTTACCGTACCACCTATAGTTAAAGCTAAACATCCCTATAGGAAAATTCGCTAAAAGGGGTTCACTGTTATTTTAATGCAACAACACTTATTGCCCTACTTAGGAGGAAACTGGGTGTACAAAAGTAAATACATATCCAATATGATGAGTTTCAAAAAGCATCACGAGCAAAGTATCACCGTATGGGGCAAATATGAGTTTTAGTAATTATGTAAAACCTATACTCCTTGGGTTTATTGGGTGTGTTCAAAAGAGCTTTAAAAACAAAGTAGTATATTATTGTGTCTTCCCCCGATGAAGGTTTATGGTGGTAGTATAGGTAAAAGTAATATCCCATGAAATGTATAGTGACTACTGTTGATAAAACCCCACTTTTGTCACGATTGTATGTAAGAGATTGGACACATAATTGGGTTACACAAAGCATCCTGGCTGGACCATGAGAACGTGCTTTCACAGGGGATTTAACCTCAAAATCCCGTGGGTTTAGTGGATGTGTTAAAAAAATTTTAAAAACAAACAACTTATTATATCATGTCTTTAATTCCTCTATGCTATAGGGAAAATTATCATCCCGGGATGAATTCAAAAGCGACTAAACTGTTCATGAAACTCCACTTTTGATATGACTGGATGTTAAGAGAGTGAAGACTTATCTAGCATGAAAAGTGAAAGCATCCTAGCCAGATGATGAGAACAGGCTTTCATAGAGGGTTATGGGGTAAATATGAGTTTTGTTGTATTTTTTTCTCTGAAAACTTCCAAATCCCACATACCAACTGAAGGTTTTTTAAAAAAAAGTTAATAAACAAATACTATTTGTTAGAAATATTATTGTTGGGTTTATTTTTGATTTATCATACTCCACCCTATATTATTGTTTAATAATGGGTTATCATACAGAGAAAATTTCCAATACAGATTCCGATGTAGTTCTAATGTTGCTAAGGATAAAGCTCCGTAATTGTACTTTGGTTGAATACAATAAACACTCCCTCATCAGGTTGAATTTTACTGTCTTGATTAGATCATGTGAACTGGCTTTTATTTGGTTTTATAGGGTGAATTTGGATTTCTTTATAATTAAACTTGAAAACATCCAAAAAATGTCAGATGTTTTCTGATCTCAATATTCATTAATGACATAAAGAGTGTTGTCAAAAGCTCTTTTCTTTAGTTTG